CTCAATGCGCCTCTGACCATCGCCGTGAGCTGTTAGTGTAGCCACAACGTCTTTGACGTGTTATTCCATTGTCTGTGCAGTTTTACAACATTTTGCATCAGGTATCGGTTACTGCATCATAGAAGAAAATATTATTTTCGAAAGTACGTCTGCCTATATCTTAATTTTTCAAGCTTCAAATTGGCCTCCCGGCCAACATGTGGTGTTTCAGCTGCCACACAAGAAACTCGTGGGTTCGGATAAACGGCTTTAGCTCAACCAATCTGTCTAGCAAGTCAAACCTCCTTTCCTTAGTCTCCGCATATTGAGGTCACCTGTGCCTAGAATAAAAGAGTCATTGCTTACGAAGTTTGCCATTCAACTGTCATTATGCATAACTAATTCTAATACATTTAGTTCAACCGTAATTCTTGCTCTTTGGCTATAGCAAATGTCTCTATGCGGTACAACAAAAATGGTTTCACAGAGGCAAGCTATGGGCAGATTTCCCCCGGCGGAATAATTCCTTTATCAACCCAAATATTGTACAGGTTTCGAAAAGCTCTCGAGGCTGTGGCTGAATTATGCCGTCGCAGATGATGGCGCCGACATACTTAAATTGGTCAGCGGCCTGTTGCTCACCACTTCCCTCCTCCACTTGTATGTCAGCTGTGCCGGATGTGCTATGTGCTACCCGAGCGTTGAGGAAGAGACTGGCTATAGCAGATGTGTTGCGTACGGAACCCCTCATATGATACAGCCTCCTATTCACTAGGACAGTGTCATCTACGTACTCCATGTCAGCAAAATATCTAGCCAAATATCTTTAACTTCGCCTTTCTTCAAGAAGGAAACCTTCATCGTGCAGGGTCAGCAATGTTTTGAAAAAGAAAGTCGAATACAGTGTTAATGGTACTTCTCTCTGCGAAATCCACAGTCAACAGGGAACCACTCAGATAGCTCTCCTTCTACTTTGACAGCAGCTATATCTCCTACATATATATCTTCCGAAATGGAAACGATGTGCTCAGGTATCGAATAGAATTTATAGATTCTCCAAACCATCGGATGATGCACATAATCAAATGCAACTTTAAAGTCGAAAGAACCGGCAGACAAAAGCAAGTAGAATCGTCGCATTGCTGAATGGTCCTACGAAGAATGAAAATTTGTTCAGGACATGAACGTCCGGTGCGGAAGATTGCTTGATTTTGTGGGCGTTCAGTCGACTGCTTACCTCAACCTTTACAGGATAATATAATAGAAGATAATCGAAGAGTTTCTCAGGAGTAGACAAAAGGGTAATACAATAGCACAAGCATCAGCTCTTGAAATACAGTTTGTGATGAGCGTGACGTGGTTAATATGGACATAAGGATGTAGGATGCACCTCGCACCGCAGATGCTCATATGCTACTAGACGTGGCTCTTAAATTACACCCTCCCTAAGACTATGTGAAAGGGGGCAGTGCAATGTGCCGTAAAATCTGGTTTTGAGGCTATGCGTTGTCTGATATACTCCAGCCTACGGTTCCCTGAATATCATCCGTGTTATTTCCAAAGATGTCGCAGTCTATAAGATTGGTCAAATTATTTCCATATTGCAAGGGCAACCACAGGTTCCTTAAACGTTCCCTATCAATTTAGATGTTTTGTTGTCATCCTAGGGCCGGTCCAATAATTGTGGCGTATTTTAGTGACGTCGATTTTTAAATATAATTAATCCTGAATAAGTTAATATATAATCGACCATTCTAAATCTTTAACGAATGTGATGCGTAACGGACAATCCGGAAATCACCTATGAAGTGGATTCTTTAACCTCTGTTCTATCGTTATTTGCCCGTTTGCTAATACAAGAGACAATCATAACATTAACTTCCCTTCCCTTTCAAGGTGACATAATGCAGATTATTTCGATTAAGCTTATGTAATCATAAGTTAAAAAGCTGTCCTGTGCGTTTAAACCTGGTGAAGACGAACAATGACTGAAAAATTTATATTTGAATTATTTGCATAGGATAAATTCGCTTTGATGACACCCGGTTTTCGTTAGCCAGGAAACGAAACTCATTGAGCCTAACTTTTATAAGTAAAGGTAAGCATTTCAATGGTGAATGAATATTAGTTCAGTTGAATGATCTTGGCTTTGACCATCTATCATATCGCAATCGTCATCTTAGCCAGGTACTAATGAAATGACGTCTGTTCCCCAACATCGATTCGGAACCGCTTTGACTTCGAAAGTCTTTTGTGCAGGCTAATTCAAGTCTCACAAATTTTTAGACAACAGGACCGATCCGTAACACCTTCTGTTCCATGAATAGCTCAACAACTTCCGTCCAGACTCACAGAAAATGTATAGCATCATTAATTTGATTTTGGCTCATGAAAGTTGACAGGTCCATTCAGCGCCTCCTTTCTTATGTGGGTGTATGCATTCGCAATAAGCCGTTTTCTCTTAATATTTCACACAACGATAAGCGTTTGTGACCTTTAGGCATTGTGAGTGAATCGTTAATATTTTTTATTCCTTTATAAGGTACGTTTCCGCAGTGTAAATGTTGTACCAGAATTTGAAATGTGACATTTACAGGCGATATTGGAAGCTACCTCAGAACATCAGGTCGCATTGCTTCTCTTTCCTCCTTCAAACTTTTATTTTAAGACTCCTAAACGTGCTCATACATCCAGGAAAACATTCTTCGCAACAATGAAAAACACCAGTGGCTTGTTCATCCGAAATGCGCGGTAACAAAATTAACAGATAGCCTCAAAACCTCTTAAAGTGTCCATAGAACAGCTCACTTGATCATAACGTTTCGGAGAGTTCTTGTTGTCAATTTTCCTTTGTCGCTCACTTCCAGTAAGATGCCCTTGTACGAAGCGAATCCTTCAGCATTCACCAAAAGGTCAGATTGAACCGTTTCCCAGACCTTCTTCTTAGGATTAAGCAAAGTATCCGGAATACCTGAAGCAAGGTTCATCAAAACAGTACGTTCACTGAAAAAGAAGAAAAACAAAACATAAACGCATAAACATCCATCAAATTATTAGCCAAATTCGAAAATAGAAATGTAAAAACCCGCAAGAATTGCAAAAAATTGGCGGTTTGCATTTGATGGGCTCTTAATAACTGAAAAAAATCAATACATTTGAAAAGGATAGCAATCACATTTGAACCGAAGCTTACACGGAAAAAAAGTTAAAACACGATTAAAAAAGTGTTTTCGAATTCCTCCAAAAAACCTCCAACAACCAACATATTCCACTTTATTGCATGTGTTGTTTTGTTTTTTTGTCAGGTCAGTCGATGCTGATACCGGTATCATTCAACTCGAATCCGACTTATGCCCGACTCGTGGCGAAAAATCGATCCGCGATGTGGCATCCAAAATTTCAAAGAATCAATCGACCCTGTTAGGTTCTGCGAAGATGGTCCCAGTAAACACAACTCGAAGGTCTCAAGAAAATTAAGTAAAAAAACTTAATACAAAAACAGTATTTACACTCCCAGTACCCTGTGGATTTGCAATCATCTGTCTGTGCTTTTCTGGCCACCAGCAAACACTGGCAAGAACCAACAAGTCTGTCTGACGACACATTTCATTACGAGTAAATGTTACTTGGAACCGACTACAAGTTCGCCTGGGCTCAAATGCTGAGCTTATTAACTTTGCATACAATGGGTGGTTGAAACAAGAGAGAACCGCTTATTGAGGACGATAGGCTGTTGTCGCAATTCGATCAGATATATGATCACCCACTGACGAATCAAGTTCAGCAAAGCAAGCCAAAAGAATTTCACAGAAGTGAACGATTCAGAAAAAAAATAGTATGACATTCCAATAACCTGGAATCAGGCGAAAGTCATGAGGATAATCATACCGCGTAAAATCAGACTCGGTTCGGTGTACATATTGTCGATTCTTAGCACTCGACTTCCTTATGATATTACATTAAACAATGAATCATAATTCACTGTCTGACTGCCACCGTTTATAATCTAGTAAGGGTCCTAAAAAATACCACATTACAAAAAAAGGGCATTGTAACGAATCAAAGGTCAAACGTGCTTGTCTCATCGTCGTACACGATCTTAGCAATCACATTAAATATCAAACTGTATAGATTTTGAGAGTCAACCCGACCAAGAAACCTTTATTTGCTACATATTAGCACACAGGAGAAACATTACTTTCCGCAAGGCCATCTATCAAAGGGTGAAATGAGCTAACATCTAGTGCCTAAGTAAAGGATAAGCAGATTAATCATGTTAAACATGCAGTACAAAGCAATCCAACTGGACAAACGTTTAACATCGCATCATTTCTAATGTAAATATTCTTATACCTGCATATCCCGGACAAGATACGCGATCACCTGGAACACAATTGAGCGGTGGATCAAGAAATTCGACTTTTTCAGGAGTGGAACCACACAGGACCATTGCCTGAGATTCGATGCCGCGCATCTTCACCGGTTTCAAATTGCACAACACCACGACACATCGATTTTGCATCTAAAGCATCATATGGTTTAGAAAACAAAACTAAAAACAAAATAATTAAATTAAAAATGCATAAATGTGGTGAAGACAACTAGTGTTCTATTTAATGTTTATCAACTCTGAGCTAAGCGTTTATAATCAGTCAATTAGTCGGTTTCAGTGACCGTTTATCCTTCGAGGTGGCGGAGGCAGCAGTATGAATCAGACAGTGTCTACAACGTTAACGAGTCTGTGCCAGCATTTCAGCTTCAACAGAAGACAACCAAGTTTTGAGGAAAGTCCACTTAGCCGCTTGCTTTAGGCCATTCTTGGCCGGCCATGGGGTCCTTAGTCAGTCAGTTGAGTCAACAGTGCCTGTTTCGCCTTCCTTTCGGAGAGCATTCGCAAGACGTCCCCAAACCATCGTAACTATTACCTCACAATCTAAAGAGTATTGGCTCTATGTTCAGAACTGAAGAGTTTGTTGAGAAGCATCAGCTCAGCGATCCGTTTCAGAAAGCCCATTTCAGTCGCTGTAATCGATACCGAAGTTTCTCAGATATAAGTGAGTATAAGCATGAACACTGGCTAGAACACAAGGAGCTTAATCTTCAGACTCAATTTTGCCGTAGTCACAATGATTCGGGACAATTAATGTATGCCAACATGATATGCTATATACGCATCGGCTAAGATTTCATGGGTTTACAGTTACAACTTTAGCTTTTATCATGACAAGAAGGATGTGGTTTTGATTTCATTTACATTGCATAGAACTAGAATTGTTGCTTTAACTCCCATAACTCTTTTATCAACGCGAGAATAACTTTTTACGCTGAAAGCTGATAATAATCCTACCGCCAATAATGGAACGTCGTTAAAATATGGCTTTATCCTTAATTGCTTTCAGCTCATTTCTGATTTGAAAAACTGATGAACATTGTGCACATGAAATTTTAAGTCACAAAACAAAATTACTTTTTCCAGCTGATAGTTGTTAGATAACTGGACAAATATTTTGAAACAGTTAACTTCAATGACGTCACGCCCCGCAACAGAAACACAGCTAACTGTCGAGATTCGCAAATTTGACAAACGATTCCCTTGTGCTTACAGAAAGATACTTATGGATCAAAATCCAACGAGGGGCCAAATCAAACGGCTGATAGAGACTGACACCTGGAAAAAACTCGCGGACATCTGTTTGTGCCTATACATTGCTTGCAGAGCCTATTGCCCATGTATTCTTCAGTCGTTTTCTACATAGATTGATCGACTAACTTACTTTTATCAAACTGCTTTGCTGTGGATGATATCTATAATATGCATTCATGAATCTTTACCAGATGCTGAAGCCCTTTCTGCTGATACTTCACGTGCCCATCTGCAAATGCACAATTTTGGAAAAACGTCAAAAATATTTCTCAAAAATCGGTACGGGCAAGAGTTAGTACCT